TTTATGTCTTATTTCTATTTGTAAGACCGATAACCAAAATACCATTATAGTTTGTAATTTAAAAGTCTATCTTTGCCGTAATTCAAGAGTAATTATTAACTATACACTCTTCATACAGTAAATATGCAAAACAATTTGAACACAGCATAAATATCTAAACTGTGTAATACATGTATAGTCTTATGCATACGTGTCTGTTAAAATGTTCTAGACATGCAGCTTTACATGACTGGTTGGAAATATAGCTGCATATATATTGTGCAGAATATGTGAACACGCGTGTTCTCACTATACAACGGGGACTAACGCGTCCGTATTATTAGCGAAAATATTCAACATTCATAACATCGTGGCAGTATATCGTTTTGACATCGATTGTTTATGAAAAATAAATACCGTTAATTTTGCATGTAGAATTACACCGAGGCCTGTTATGCGTTACATATAAGCATGAAATGTATTTAGTAGGTTTTATTTGATCTTCACCGAAAAAGGGTCGTCGTTCTATAATAATAAAAAGAAATAAAGAGTTCGAATTGTTAGTTTATGTTCACGTTTTGTCTGACACAATAGACATATTGTTAGCTTCTGACACATGTGTATTAATTCTACAAGCCTTCTGTGTTTATTGCCCGAGATAATCGCACTAACCTTCAACCGATAATGCTTTCTATTGATCCCATATTATGTAATATATGATTGGTGCAATACCCATGCTGTTAGTCTTAATTGCAAAGACATTTAAACAAAAGGATTTAATCAGGGTAGGGAGTCGACGTGTACACATGTAAATCAGATGCGTGAGATTTATCATTCGTGGATGTGTTGTCAGTGTGGGAAATACTGTTTTAAATCGATATATAAATACACGTTTTATGAAACGGTATGTGCATCTCAAGAAAGCTTTGCTTCGGAACCGTCCCATCACCATTAAAAATCCAACATCTGTTTCACCGTAGTGATCTTGAAAAATAATCCCCGGATAATGACAGGCATTACAGATACCTGCCGTCGTATGAATCCTGAAAAATAATATTTCACCGTATTGCAACAGGTCAGTACTAAAACTAACACTTATTACAGTATTTCAACATTGTGCTGCAAAACTGAACGATGACCAACAACTAAACACATCGTAATATCTGAACATCGCACGTGAAATTAGATGTTTGACAACAAAATTTAACACCTTGCGTAATTGGACACCTTGACTGATTTTAATCACGGCTCGAGAAATTGAACGGTCCAGCTAATTATTAAACAGTCGTCCTAATTAGACGGGATGCTTATAATTCAACACGTGTCGAGAAACTAAACACTAGTTAATTGGACGCTTGGTAATCAAAATTAAACAGTGAGATTGAAATTCGATAGAAGTACAAATTGAGCACTATTCGCCGAAATTCAACAATATTTACGAATAATTGGACACAGAGTAGAAATTAACGCTATTTACGCTAGATTAAACGGTACCAATGTTACAGAGCAATTTGTCGGGCAGTTTCATTTCGATTTTCGCGAAATTCCAATTCAACCTTCATTATGGTGGAATGGTGATATATCTAAACGGTTTATAAAATCGGAAACAAAAATGTGACCTCTAGAGAATCCACAAGCCATAATCCAGGAAATTACATTCGGATATGTGTGATTATCAAAAGGAACCACGATCTTTATATTTAATTTTCATCCAAATCGGATAAAAACTGTGGCCTCTAGAGGGTCCACAACGTTGATATACCATATTTTTACACTATTAGAGTACAATATTTGTCCGATTTTCACGAAATTCGAACTCAACCATTATTAGTGTATAACTATGATATATTCACACGTTTATATTTTATTAAATGGGATAAAATGGAAACAAGATATTTGGGTTATAAACACGCATTTCAAGTTTCATCTAAATCGGATCAAAAATGTGACATATAGAGTGTCCACAAGCTAAAAACGTGATTTTTCGTACAATCAGGGGCCATAATCCATGAAGTTTCGATCCATAATCCATGTAGTTTCAATCCGATACATGCCAATATCGACGGGAACCGAGATCTTTGTGAGATAGACCTATATTTCAAGTTTTGTCAAAATCGGATAAGAATTGTGACCTGTAGAGTGTCAACAAACAAATTGTGGACAGACAGGGGGTGACGACAATATACGTCCACATGTGGGCATATAAAAATGACAATACTTGGGACGAGATTGACTGTAAATATATTGTTCAATACGGTGTGTGAAGCCTTAAGTCACCAAAAATAAGATCTGATTTTGTAAATTGTTGTATATCCGGTAATTTTTTTATAATGAGAAATACAATTGTTACATGCCATTTTTTTATCACATATTTTTGGTAGATAAAATATTTGAGTTGGAAGAAAAATATGAAAATGTTTTTACATAATAAATATTACCATATCTTTTTTCGTAAAAAATTAAAAGTCACTGTGAGCCCTGGTCACATAATTAGAAACAAAGTTATATACTAAGCAGCAAAAGAAACGTCAGGTTGGTATCTTACATGCCAAATGTTTTTATTGTATATTTGTGACCACATCTCCAACTTTACCTGAGCAATAAGGCTCCTTCCCAAACACAGAATTGAACCCAAGAAATGTTCTCAAAAATGCAACCGGACTTCTGAGATGGTAATGTGTTCTCCATGATTTTCATGTAACTCATGCTGCACATGTTGTTCATCAGGACCAGCCCTATAAAATGCACCCCCATACCTGTTTGAATCATTCACACTCAACGTCAGCAGCATGCCACGACCCACGACTGCTCAGAGGAACCGAGCACTTGGAAGAATCCATGCTGGCCACACTGCCCAAGCCGTTGCCAATCACTTCCAGGTCAATGTTCGGACCATCTACAGATTTCAGCAACTCTTTCGGGCCACTAACACCACGGATGATCTCCCCAGAATTGGTAGACCAAGGGATTATAAGACCGCCATGCTGTGCGACAGCACATGTGCAGAATCCCTTCACACAGGCATCTGAGACAGCACGTAAGACGGTGGGAACACACGGAAGACCCATCTGTAACAATACAGTGCCCGACATCTCACCAGATTCCATTGCCGTAGACCTTACCGTGGACCAATCCTCACCATCGACGTGAACGTCTACAGTTTGCCCAACAACACCAGAACTGGCGACACAGGCAATGGAGAACTGTTCGGTTCTCAGATGAGAGACTGTATTGTGTATCAACAGCAGATGGCAGGACCATAATATATGTGTCGACGTGGCCAGCGTTATTCTGACCAATGTGTCATGGAACGAGACTAATGGGAATGTCCAAGCATAATGGTTTGGGGTGGAATCTGCGCTACATCGATCAAGCTTTCTGACCCCACGTCATCCCTCATTTCACACGTCATCGAAATGACATTTTCTAGCATGACAATGCCCGTGGCCACACCGCCAGAGTTACTTGGGACTTTCTACAGCAGAACGGCGTCAGTGTTATGCTCTGGCCAGCCCTTAGTCAAGACTTAAATCACTGAACATCTTTGGGATGAAATTCAGAGGAGACTTACCGAGACCAAACACAGCCGATGGATTGCGCCAGGCTTTTCTGCGAGTCTGGTTCCAGGTGCCTATGGTGTTCATCAATTGTCTGGTCCACGCCATGTACAGATGCTGTTCTGCTGTTATTGACACGTGCGGTGGACACACCAGATAGTGATGTATAGACTGTGTTCAGACTATAAACATTCTTGTAATGTCTTGGAATTGTGATGAATTAATCAATAATGTGTCAACATACTGTTCACAAAAATTGCTTTGATCCATTTAGTAAGTCGTTTTCTAGAATGATTTGATTAAAGTGCCTCTCTGATTTTGAAATCGTACTGACGTTTTTTTTTTTTGCTGTTTAGTATGTGTGTCCCAAAAAACTGTGACAAATGGATAAACAGAAAGACCAAAGCAATTCAATAGTCCAATGCTTTCGGCAAAAAACAAGGGACAATTATGTGGTACAGTAAACAGATGTTTATTCTGATTAATAATTAATCCAGTCCTTGTGTTCCAAAAGGTGTGACGGACGGACTATCCTACACAGAAACCGGCAATATCTGGCAGCCAAATTTTCATACAAAATTATAATTATCAAATTCTTTACATGCCAGCAGACCAATAATCATTATGGTCTCAATTTTTGTGGTTAGAAATGAATTGCCAATTTGCCATGCTACTTTAAGTGTAATCATTTTCGATGGAGATCCCACATTAAATATGAAAATTAGACATTTTAAACTTCTATAATGATAATGAGACCCAAACAATTAAAATATTTAAGCCTTTGTATCAAATCTTTCTATAAACTAAATATATATATACTTTTATAAGATACTCTCAATGAACATCATACCATACACTCACAATATTCAAAGCATTCATGGAGAGTAGTATTTCAAGATACAAGATTAGATCAAGTGATGTGTTTAACATTTAAAAAAATACAAAAAAAAAAAAAAACAACAACTTGTAAATTTATCTCAAATTCATGCAATTTAACACCCAAAAAAATATTGGAAAAAAACCCCCCAAAACCCAATAATTTTGAATTTAATAAACAACACATATGAAAACAAAAAGATAATAGTAAATAAGGGTTTGAAGGTAACAATAATAACCTCTAAACTGGGAACAAAATGTACATAATGATTAGTTGGAAACAAAACAAAACACAAGGGAGTGACAGCCCTGCAAATACTTCTTGGGCCAAGTATTTCTCCATGCATACATACAGTTTCAAAGATCGGTTCTGACCTGTGTTGTTATCGTAAAGAATTCTCGAGGTTATTATCTTGCCACAGATGGAGAATGCCTGTTCCAAGTCTCTTTGTGTCATAGACTTTGGCAAACCACAAATATACAAGTTAGCACCTTTAATTGTTTCACTACTGGGCCTTGCAAATGACACCTACAAATAATGTTTGAATTTAGTCAGTTTTTGTCAAGTTTCAAGAAATGATTAGGTACCTGTAATTTGGTCATATAGAATTCTTGAAGTAATGATTACTCCAGAAGAAGAAAACAGTTTCTCCAAATCCAACTGAGTCAAAGATTTAGGCAAGCCACTTATGTACAAATTGGCTCCCTTTATGCTTTCACAACTTGGGCGAGCATAGGAAACCTGAAATTAATAAAGAGTCTTAAAATGCAAACTAAATAGTGATTTAAAAAAAACTTTTTTTAAAAGATAGAGTGTTTCAGAATCAAAATTTCAAAGCACAATCTTAATATCAAAGTTTCTAGTTAAACACAAGGTTGACAAAACCAATTTACAAAAAAAGTAAGCTTATAAGAAAAATTTGCTTTTAAAAAGATACAAATGAGGACCGGTATCTTAAGTCTATTCATTAGCAACTGCACTGATATGCTTAACAATTTTTAAGCAATATGCATGTGCTTCCGAAATCATAACCAATGTTTTCTGAGCACTCAAAATAAAAATAAATAAAAAGAAATTAAAAAAAAGATATAAAGCAGAAAGTAAATTAATTTTCATCAAAATAATAAAAAAAAAACCCCTAAAAAAGATGTACATTAATAACAAAGACGATAAATAAAACTGGAAGCTATAAAAATATTAGATGATAGATGTAGCAGGTTGTTCTTTCGAATGGATTATTAAAATTTTCAATGGATTGGAAGAATAAAATGAGAAAATTATGACTTTGGATTCTATAAAGCTGGATATTTTTATCAAATACAAAATTAACAAAAATATAAACTTTATGTTTTGGATTATTTAGTAAGTTTCATTAACTTTAAAACTAGCAATTAATTTCCAAAATCCACTTAAATTGTGCTATGAATGTCCTTTTGAAATTTGTGAAAGACATTTTTCATCTATAGCCATTATTGGTGGGCACAAGTAACACTTAACATCCATCACCTCTGTCAGTTATAATTTCAGAACACAACTTACATTCAAACAAAATCTTATTTCATACAAAAGTTGGAGGGCCTCAATAGGTCAGTGATTAAGGCGAGTGCGGGAGTTTGATCCTGGTTCTGGTTGAGAAAGTACGCCAGGATTTTGGCGTGGTTTCCCCTTGTTATGCTACTTATGATCATCAAGAACTTGTCTAAAACTCTCAAATTCTGGATTGTGTAGTATATCCACATCAGTTTTAATCGCAATCCATAAACTAAATGCAGAATTCGGTGGGTAATCTAGACATCCCAAAAATAAGATCTTATATACGTACGGTACGCATATATTCAAGCACACACAGGAGTTTTCGCTCACTATCGTGTTTATTATTCCACCATCACTGAGAACTACTAAGGGGCTAATCTGTGCATGGACCGTATATAAATCTCGTTCTGGGGTGTTACTTGTACGTCTATTGAAAGAAAATTAATTTCCCTATTATTACTTGGCATTACCGTGTTTAAATTGTAAATAAGGTGCGTTAATTAACAAGGGCGAGAAATTGACTGAGAGGTGAATTAATTGAAGCCAGGGGTTAAAAACTCTGCGATGGTGGGTGTTAATTAACCGACCAGTAAAAAAATGAATGTCAAAGGTGTGTATTATTTAATTGGTTTGTTTTCTCGATAGTTGTGATAACTGCACCAAAAGGTGTATAATCAAGGATCAGCAAGCTTTTCCTGACACGTACGTGTAGTAAAACTGTTTTACCGTGCGATTATCATTCGACGCAGGTCTTTGTATAGGCGTGTATGCTCGCTATGATCGACATTTCTCTTGTATCTATCCCGTGGATTCAGCGAAGATTTTAAAGTTCCATAAACTTATGATTACTGAACGAAGGCTTTTAATTAGGTCTTGGGATGAAAAGATCTGCTCCAATTTAAACTAGACGATATAATTACTTGGGATGTGATTGTGATGTGAACATTTAAATAGTTCATCAATAACACTGTCTATATTTCTAATAATGGGTAAAAATATTGTCATCTTTTTGTCATGGTTGATTGATCAGAATTTTTGAAAACGTTGACCTATATTTAATATAGATGTTATGTAACAAATGCAGTGTTTTGCTACCTGATAGGGGCCATAAAGTAAGAAACTAATTAACAACGCTACATGGATTATTTATTTCAACCAAACAGTCTGAATTATGGTTGTTAATTTTGTTCATAGATTTATTAATTGACTGTTTTCGCAAACTTAAAAAATTGTGCAAAATGAAAAATAAGGTAATTTATGGTTAAAACTTTTAGGGCATGTAGATAGAATACATAGAAACGTGTATAGTCAAATTTACTGCAACCTGTTTTATGGAATAATCTACCATTTGGTTTAAGATGTTGTACATAATATTCTTTAAAAAAAAAATATAAAAAAAATAACTATTTAAAACACAGTTATTTAAACAGGCTTTTAACCGACTCTGTATATCAGTGATGGGATTTCAAAATTTTTCTTGTCAGACATTTTTTCCCTGAAAATAAAGGGGCATAACTCTTATCGTTATTTAAGCAGGCGTTTTCAAACCACAATAAAGAATCATGTGTCAACAATAAATATTCAAATTCATACGTAATAAAAGATATGTGCACCTCGTCATTTTTCATGTTTAATTCCCGTACAGTATTCAATTTTATGTCAATAATATTCCTACAAAATATGTGACATCGTAATACCATATAATGAAAGCGTGCCGACTACTGCTGATCCGTCCCTGTTTCAAATTACCATATTTTTTGATACATTTTTCAGCACAAGTCCGGCTTTCGTCTGATACTCCGTTTCGACTTATATACGGAAGGAAAAAAGATAGGTTGCCAGGCAAAAAAACACACGCCCACAGCAGCTAAATTGTCCGAGCGGTCGACAAGGGTTGTCGCATATTTATTCTTTTGTAGGTAATTAGGGGGCATTTATAACAGACAATTTCATACAGATGACATTATAATTTTTGTCTTTTGAGGGTTCATAAGGTTCTAAAGATAGGTTGCCAGACAACGAAACATACGCCCACAACAGCTAAATTGTCCGGGCAGTCAACAAGAGTTGTCGCATATTTTTACTTTTTTCGGTAATGAAACATTTTTAATACATTAAAATCTGATTAAGAGTAACAACTCATTAAGTAATTATCAGAAAACCATTAGAATTTGTTTGGTTTTTATAAAGTTCTGCCCCATGCTAACGTTAATATACGAAACATTTAATATCATGAATTTAGCGGTTCATTTCAAGTTATCAAAATTCAATGAAAATCAATATACTTGTTCATCTCAAGACCTTAAACTCTGTGTATCAATCTGAGGTCAATCGAATGATAACTTTAGCCTCTAGAGCGTCACAAGATTTTTCAAAGTGATCAAGGGTCATAACATTGGCAGTAATTATTGAAAATCACTGAAAATCAATAGACTTCTATGTTGCATGACTTTTAACACTGTGTGTAAATTAAAAGTCAATCGGATATTAACTTTAGCTTAACTAGAGGGTCACAAGATTTTTCAAAGTGATTAAGGGCCATAACTTTGGCAGTAATTATCGGAAATTGCTGAAAATCAATATGATTCTTCGTCTCATGACCTCAAGCACTGTGTATAAATTTAAAGTCAATCGGATATTAACTTTAGCCTCTAGAGCGTCCACAAGATTTTTCAAAGTGATCAAGGGCCATTACTCTGGCAGTAATTATCGAAAATCGCTGAAAATCAATAGGCTTCTTCATCTCTTGACCTTAAACACTGTGTATAAATTTAAAGTCAATCGGATATTAACTTTGGCCTCTAGAGCATCCACAAGATGTTTTGAAGTGATCAAGGACCATAACTCTGGCAGTAATTATCGAAAATCAATAGGCTTCTTCGTCTCATGACCTTAAACACTATGTATAAATTTAAAGTCAATCTGATATTAACTTTGACCTCTAGAGCGTCCACAAGATTTTTTGAAATGATCAAGGGCCATAACTCTGGCAGTAATTATCGGGAATCGCTGAAAATCAATAGGCTTCTTCGTCTCATGGCCTTAAACATGCCGTATAAACAGAGACAAGCTTTCATTCAATGTATTACGAAAATGCTTAATTTTGTAGGAATGGTAATGACATAAATTTGAATGCCGTACAGGAATTTAATATGAAAATTAGCGAGGTTCGCCTATTTTATTACGTACGGGATTTGAATATTTTGTTGACATGTGATTTTTAATTATGGTATGAATTGAATACCATACGGGAATTAAATATGAATTTTTATTACGTACGGGATTTAAATGTTTTGTTGACGTGATTTTTAATTGTATGAATTCTTCTGCATAAGAGTTATGCCCCTTTATTTTCGGTAAAATGTCTGACAAGAAAAATTTTGAAATCCCATCACTGGTTCACAAGGTTCAATTAAGTGAAACAAGGGCCATAACTCTAGATGTAATAAATAGAAATTGCTGAAATTCAATAGGCTTCTTCGTTTCACTAACTTAAAGTAGCTAAGTCTCTAACACAATATCATCAAAAATCTTCGACATTGAAACACGAATTATTTGTCAATTCTAATCAACATTGATGTTGTGATTTTACCTGGAAAAGATGGGCTTCTGATATCCAATATTCAAGACAAAATAAACATTTCACCATTGGTACACGAATCGTGTATCATTATGCGTTTCAGCGCCATTTGGAACAAGGGACTCAAAGAACCGGTCTAGACATATTCCAAAAGTCATGTCAAATGGTGACGCTATATTCTGATCTGGAGAGCATGCGCAATAAATACCATCGGTGTAGACTCAAAAAAACAGACTCTAACGATTGCCATTCACATGAGACTTCTGGCATATTTCGCCAAACATAACTGATTAGAAATTACAGTAAAAACAGAAACGAACACACCCCATTTCTCTTTTTGTCTTCATCAGAAGATTCAAAATCTAAAGTTCATATGAGCGAGATAAATATTTTCTTTGTAACTGACCAACAGCTTGCATATCCTTTGGATATGCTTCAGAAACCAATTCACATTGTAAATCTTCATTCCAGCCATGCAGCAAAAGACCACGTATACGGCAAGAAAGTTCTGTTATTTTTTCACCCATCTGCTGATGTAAGTCGCCTTTCGCGATATTCTCTACCTTTGCCCATCTCATTATCGATCAAAATTTGTATATTTGGATCATCGTTTGCGAAGAGAATGATT